AGAACTCCCGACCCATCCAACCCCCCTGCTCCTTGTCCTCTGACCGCCCCCTCCCAAGACCCCCGCCCCTAACTGCCCCCCAGGAACCCCACCCCTATCCAACCCCCCCCCGCTCCCTGACTGCCCCGCCCCCTATCCACACCACCGCCCCCTGACAGGCCCCCGGGACTCCCATGCCTATCCAACCCCCGCCCCGTTCCGCGTCCCCTGACCGCCCTCCCAGAACCTCCACCCCATCCAACCGCCCGCTGCTCCCTGTCCCCTGACTGCCCCCCTGGGACCCTCCGCTCCCCGCCGCCTTACCATGCCAGAGCCAGCCACGCCGCCGTGCTGCCCGGGAGGAGCAGCGGGCCAGAGCACTGGCGGTGCGGTGCGCTAATTCGGTGGGGGAGGGGGGACAGTAGGGGAGGGGCCAGGGGCTAGCCTCCCCGACCGGGAGCTCAGGGGCTGGACAGGATGGTCCTGCGGGCCAGATGTGGCCCGTGGGCCGTAGCTTGCCCACCTCTGGTCTGAGCCAAAGGCAGCTAAAGTTAATAGGAGTCTTTCCATTGCCTTTCATCTGCTTTGGGCCCCCATGCTCGGAGCTGGGTGGTGCCACCCCACACCCCCTCCGGTTCTAACTCCCCAGCGCTGCATTTATGTCCCTGCCTCTAGGTGCCAGCCAGAGGCTTGTGCCAGCCCCAGCTGGGCCCAGGGAAGACTCCCCCCAGCCTGTCCTCTCAAGCTCACTGATCAGAGGGCACTGCCACTCAACCCCCCAGGCTTCGGCTGGAGCCGGTTTCCAGGGGCCGGGCCCTGCCCTCGCTGAAAGCCCCCTCCCCCGCCCCGAGTGCGCTCGGCCGGGCAGTGCGGTACCAGGAGCTGGTGGGGGTGCCCTCCAGCAGCTTGGTGAGACGCCCCACCAGGGGGGTGAAGAAGGCCTCCACGTTGAAGCTGGGCTGGAAGAGCTCGGTCAGGCACTTCATGGTGCTGGCGTCGCAGCACAGGACTTTGTTCTGGGCCGTCACCACGTAGGGGATGAAGGTGTAAGTGCCGCTGCAGTCCTGCCAGGAAGAGACGGGGTGCCACGAGTCAGGGGGCTGGGCTTCTCCCCCGTGTCCCCCCATCAGCCCGTTCATTCCCTAGGCTCTCAGCCCAGACGGCCAGCGAGGGATACCACGTGGTCCCCATATAGGCGGTGGCGTTTGTGACGGAGACGCTGCGGTGCTGAGACCCACCAACTCGTTCCATATAACATCCTCCAGACAGCAGGGAAAGGAAGAGGAGTGGAACTCTCCCCCAGCTCCAGCCAAACCCCGCCCACTTGGGTGGCCGAAATATGACGTCACGTACCATACAGCCCGCACAGGCCTTTTTAATACAATCTGTCCCGCTCCTTTGCTGCATTCTCCAATCAGCAGTGAAAGACTTAAACAACCTTGGCATTTAAATAGCCATTATTAAGCTCCAGAGTTAACACCCCATTGAAAAGCGATAAGGCCGCTCACTAGTTGTTGCCATCTGACAGCAGACAGCTTGAAACCACTTCCCCGAGCAGGCGAGAGACGTGAAAGGCTTCCTACCTCAGGCCCTCTCCAAGCAGGTTCCTTGGGGCCAGGGGATTGCCAGGCCAGGTGCGGGGGTGGGTAATCCGTAGCTCTCAGGCCAAGGGGAGTTTGGGCATCTGACCAGAGGCAGGTGGTGGTGAACGAAGGTGTCCACACCCCAGCAGAAGCCTGAGCCCACCTCGCGCAGCCAGAAAGCTGCAGCCTCGCTTTCCCAAGCTAAGCTCGTGTCTTCCAGGGGGTGCAATCATCAGGCTGGGGAGACCGAGGAGCAGCTGAACCTGGGCTTTAGGTCACAGGCAGAAACACGTTTGGGGGCTTCAGCCATCATTAGCCCCCCCCGCCCCGCCATCTCTGCCTGACAGCAAACCAGGTGCAGAGAGCTGTAAGATTCAGCTGGGCACGTCCCATGTGATCAGCTCCCTGCTACTGAGTCTGGGACGTGGGGGGCTGGGGGGGATCTCTATCCTTCCCAGCCTGTTTCTGCTCATGCGGAACAGGAGGTGGGTGGTGGGGGCGGGGGGCAGCACGTGAACCAGCACTAAGCTGCATTGACAGAGCTGTTTGCAAAATGCCAGGACTGGAACAACAGGGAGGCGGCTAGAGGTGAGGATTGAGGGGGGTATGTGTGAGAGAAGAAATGAGCATAAACAGACAAGGTAAAAAAAAAAATTGTTTCACAGAACGTAAATTACACTTACTGAGTTCTTCTGGCTGATATCCTCCTAGAGAGAGAGAGAGAGAGAGAGAGAGGTAGGGT